AGACAAATGCCATATAATTTCACTTATATGTGAAATCTAAAGAACGAAATAAATGAACACACAAAACCCCAACAGACTCATAGATACAGAGAACAAACTGATGGTTACCAGGTGGGAGGGGCTCCAGGGTGGGTGAAAGTGGTAAAGGGATTAAGAAGTACAAATTGTTAGTCACAAAACAGTTACAGGAATGTAAATTACAGCATAGGGAATATTGTCAATCATATTACGGTAACTATATATGGTGCCAGTTGGGGTACTGGAAATATTGAGGTGAAAACTATGGAAAGTATGTGATTGTCTAACCACTAAGCTGTATACCTGAAATCAATACAAAATAATATTGAAAGTAAACTGTAATTGAAAAATTAAAAAATTAAATGAGTTATACATATATATTTTTCCTGAACACATACATTTGATGTTCAAACCAGGGTAGGCAAAACATGGGTTATATAAAAAGGTGAAGAATGGAACACTTCAATACAGTTATTTATAGATGAAAAATTTACACTTCCAGCATAAAATGTACAACATAAAGAATTTTGGTGGACCCAAGATGATGGAGGAGTGACTGGAAGTTACAGTAACCTCCTCCCAGGACCAATCTGGAATTACAACTAAGTTGTAGAGAAATCATTCGGAATAAACAACTGAACAATAGCAAGAGAGAAGCCTTATAACCACGGACAGAGAGAAGAGACAGGTTCAGCACAATGTGACTGGTAGGGAGTGCAGTGGAGACGTGAGAGGGCAGGCTGGGTTTCCACAGATGACAGCCAAAGTGCCTGAGAGATATTTAAGCAGCTGGGGGATGCCCCTGAGAAGTGTGGGGTCTAAACTCCAAACTGGGCTCCCCAGCTTACAGCACCAGAACCCAAAAAGTATACAGATAACATCTAGCTATGAAAAGCAGCAGGATTTCTCTCTGCCAGAGACGGACACCTGGAGAGTAAAAGAGCCATTAAAGGGTCAATGCATAAATTTTCATTTGCAGCCACTTATCCTGGGCTCCAGCAAGTGCAGTTGCATAGTAGACCAGAAGAGAGACTGGGTGGGGGGTGGCTTTGGGAAGAGAACTAAAAGAGTAGATGCCGGGATTGTGGTGCTGAGTCATCCCCCATACTGCAGCAGCCATCTTGTCCAGGCAGACCACCACCCTGAGTGGTATCAGCCTGAGGGAAAGCAATAGCCCTGACCCCAGGGGGGACTTTGCCCTTGCCCTGTGGTGATTAAGCCTGACTGCTGACTGCAGAGTGATTAGATTAACAATGTAAGGCTCCTTCCAGAGACAGTAGATCTCTGGTAGTCATGAACAAGCTGCATAAGGCCAGATTGGGTGACCATCTGACATCACCAGAGGCAGATCCAGAAAGAAAAAACAGTGCGCCTGCACAACAGCATACAAAACACAGTGGGTGGAGTGACCCTCAGTCAGCCAGCCGGAAGGAAGGACCCACGAAAGAACAACCCAAACAATCAAAACCCAATTACATCCAGAGAGCCAACATAAATGTCATAAAGGGCATCCCAGGGGCATTAAGTTCAGGAGGTCAAGGAGATAGCACCACTGAATCTCACAGGTCTCCTACCATAGAAGTTCACACCATGAAGACAGGGAGTCAAAGCAGATCAATTTAAGAAGCAGAAGCAAACAAGAGGAGTTGCTGCTAAAATGGGGAGACAAAGAAACAACCCCAAATCAAAAGGAAAGGAGGAATCACTAGAAAAAGTGATAAATAAAATAGAGGCAGGTAAACTGTCAGACATTGAATTCAAAACAATGGTTATAAGGAAGCTCAATGAGCACAGTGAGAATTACAAAAAACTACAGGGAAGCTACAAGGAACTTACCGCATACTACTCCGGCATGAAAATGGACATAGAAACTATCAATAAGAGCCAGAAAGAAATAAACAACACAATTTCTGAATTGAAAAACACAGACGAAGGAATTAAGAGCAGGCTATACGAAGCAGAGGATTGAATCAGCAAGCTGGAGGACAAGATAGAAAAAAATTCCCAGAAAGAGCAAGAAAAGGAAAAAAGAATAAAAAAGAATGAAGAGGTTTCAGGGAGCTGCAGGACAACCTGAAACATAATAATATCTGTTTAATACAGATACCAGAAGGAGCGGAAGAGGAGCAAGGGATAGAAATCCTGTCTGAAAAATTAATGATGGAAAAATTCCTTAATTTGAGGGGAGAACAAATCACACAGGCACAAGAAGCACAGAGGGTCCCATTCAAGATGAACCCAAAAAGGCCTACACCAAGTCGCATCATAATTAAAATGGCAAATATCAAAGACAAACAGAGAATCCTAAAGGCAGCAAGGGAGAAACAGCTAGTAACATACAAGGGAGCCCCAGTACAGCTAGCAGCTGATTTCTCAACAGAAACACTACAAACCAGAAGGGAATGGCAAGAAACATTCCAAGTAAAGCAAAGCAAAGGCCTGCAACCAAGACTACTCTATCTAGCAAGGCTCTAATTTAAAATGGAAGGTGAAATAAGGAGTTTCCCAGACAAAAGAAGGCTAAAAGAATACTCCTCGACCAAACCAGCATTGCAAAATATGCTAAAGGGACTGCTTTAAGAAGATGAAGGAAATGAATGAGAGAGAGTGGAACTGAGGTACAAAGGGGAAAGATGGCAATGAATAAGTACCTATCAATAATAACCTTAAATATAAATGGATTAAATGCTCCAATTGAAAGACATAGTGTAGATGAAGGAATAAGAAAATGTGACCTACACATATGCTGCCTACAAGAGATCCAGCTCAGAAAAAAAGACCTACGCAGACTGAAAGTAAAGGGATGGAAAAAAAATATTTCAAGATGGAGAGGAAAAAAAAAAAAGCCAGCATAGCAATATTTATGTCAGTCAAAATAGACATCAAAACAAAGGCCATAAAGAGACACAGAAAGACACTTCATAATACTCAAGAGAAGAATTCACCAAAAAGACATAAATATTGTAAACATACATGCACCCAACATAGCAGCAGCCAAATATATTAGGAAAACCTTGGAGGACTTCAAGAAAGATATAGACAGCAACATACTTATAGCAGGGGATTTTAACATCCCACCACCAACAATGGATCTAAACAAAATATCAACAAAGATGTGGGCACTGAATGATGCACTGGAACAAATGGATTTAACTGATATATACAGAACCTTTCACCCCAAAGAAGTAAAATACACATTCTTTTCAAATACCCAGGAAACACTTTCAATAATAGATCACATGATAGGACACAGAACAAGCTTCAACAAATTCAAGAAAATTGAAATCATATCAAGCATTTTTTCAGACTACAAGTGCTTGAAACTAGAAACAAACCTCAAGGAGGGAAAAAAAAAAAAACCAAACACTCAAATTCATGGAGACTGAATAGCATGCTATTAAACAACGAATGTGTTAATAGTGAGATAAATAAAGAAATCAGAAATTTTCTGGAAACAAATGAAAAAGAACACACAAAAGTCCAAAACCTATGGGACACAGTGAAGGCAGTCCTGAGAGGGAAGTTCTCAGCAATACAGGCCTATCTCAAAAAGGCCTATTATATGCCAAGAATTTGGAAACCTGTGTGAAGTGGACAAATTTCTAGAAACATATAATCTTCCAAAACTGAATCAAGAAGAAAGAGAAAGCCTATTCAGATTGATAACAGCTAGTAAAATTGAAGCAGTAATAAAAAAGAAAAAAACAAAACTCTGAGCATATAAAAGCCCTGGACAAGAGAATTTGCAGAAAAATATTACAAAGCATTTAAGGAAGAGGTAGCCCCTATCCTTTTCAAACTATTCCAAAAAATGCAAGAAGAGGGAAGACTCCCAAACTCTTTTTAGGAGGCCAGCATCATCCTAATCCCAAAACCAGATAAAGACACAAGAAAGAAAGAAAACTACAGGCCTATATCGCTGATGAACATAGACGCTAAAATCCTCAACAAAATATTGGCAAACCGCATCCAGCAATACATTAAAAATATCAAACACCATGAACAAGTGGGCTTCATCCTCGAGGTGCACGAAGAGCAGGCTATATGAAGCAGAGGATTAAATCAGCAAGCAAGAGGATCGTACAATATTTGCAAATCAATAAATGTAATATATCACATAAACAAAAGGAAAGACAAAAATGACATGATCATATCAATAGATTCTGAAAAAGCATTTTATAAAGTATAGCACCCATTTGTGATAAAAACATTCAGCAAAGCAAGCACACAGGGAGCATATCTCAACATAACGAACGCCATGTACGAGAACCTACAGCCAACATCATATTCAATGGGCAAAAACTAAAAGCTTTCCTGCTAAGATAAGGAATAACACAAAGGTGTCTTCTCTCACCACTTCTATTCAACATAGTATTGGAAGTCTTAGCCACAGAGATCAGACAAGAAAAAGAAATATAAGGAATCTGAATTGGAAAGGTGGAAGTAAAGCTGTCACTGTTTGCAGATGACATGACAGTGTACATAGAAAACCCTATAGACTCCACCAAAAAACTACTCAACCTAGTAAGTGAATTTGGCCAAACAGGAATACAAAGTCAATATTCAGAAATCGATGGCCTTTTTGTACACCAACAATGAAAGATCAAAAACAGAAATTAGGGAAAAAATCCCATTTGATATTGCAACAAGAAAAATATAGTACCTAGGAATAAACCTAACCAAGGAGGTAAAAGACCTGTACTCAGAAAACTACAGAACACTGAAGAACAAAATTAGGAAGTCACAAATAAATGCAAGCATATACTGTTTTAATAGACTGGAAGAATTAACATCATTAAAATGTCCATACTACCCAAAGGAATCTATATATTCAACACAATTCCTGTTAAAATACCAATGACATTTTTCACAGATGTAGAACAAATATTTCAAAAATGTATATGGAAGCATAAACAACCCCAAATAGCCTCAGGAATTTTTAGAAAGAAGAACAAAGTAGGAGGGATACCTGATATTGGAACATGTATAAAGTCCTTATGAACAAAGACAATGGGGAGGGTAAGATTAAATGTGGGGGCATGAGTAAGGCAGGGTAGGGTAATGGGAAGGAAATAGGTATAACTGTAATTGAACAACAATACAAAATTTTTAAAAAGAAAAAAACCAATACCTGATATCAAACTATATTACAAGTCCACTGTAATCAAAACAGTCTGGTACTGGCATAAGAACAGACATATAGATCAGTGGAACAGTATAGAGAGCCCAGAAATAAACCCATGTATCTACAGTCAATTATTATTTGACAAATGGGGCAGAAGCATAAAATGGAGTAAAAATAGACTCTTCAACAACTGGTGGTGGGAGATCTGGACAGCTACATGCAAAAAAAATGAAACTTGGTCACCAACTTATACCATACACAAAAATAAACTCAAGATGGATAAGAGACTTAAATATAAGTTGTGACACCATACCAGCCCTAGAGGAGAACATGTGAGGGAAAATATTAGGTATTCCATTGCAGCCATATTTTCACCGATATGTCCACTAGAGCAAGGGATATAAAGGAAAGAATAAACAAATGGGACTACATCAAATTAAAAAGCTTCTGCACAGCTAAAGAAAACATAAGCAAAATGAAAAGGGAACCAGCGATATAGGAAAATATGTTTGCCAATGATACCTCGGACAAGGATTTGATCTCCAAAATACATAAAGAACTCACATGACTCCACACCAGGAAGACAAGCAATCCGATTAAAAAATGGGCAAAGGACCTGAACACAAACCTCTCTAAGGAGGCCATACACAGGGCCCAGAGACATATGAAAAGATGCTCAGCATCACTAGCTATCAGAGAGATGATGCAAATTAAAGCCACAGTGAGATACCAGTCAGAATGGCCCTCACAAACAAATCAACAAACAAGTGCTGGCAAGCTTGTGGAGAAAAGGGAACCCTAGTACACTGTTGGTGGGAATGCAGGCTGGTGCAGCTACTGTGGAAAATAGTATGGAATTTCCTCAAAAAACTAGAAATGGAACTGCTTTTGACCAGGCAATCCCACTATTGGTATTATACCCTAAGAATCCTGAAACACCAATACAAAAGAACCTACACACCCCAATGTTCATAGCAGTGTTATTTATAATAGCAAAATGCTGGAAACAGTGTAAGTGCCCTTCAGTAAATGAGAAGGTCAAAACACTGGTACATTTGCACAATGGAATACTATGCAGCAGAGAAAAAGAAGGGACTCCTATCCTTTAGGAGAGCATGGATGGAACTGAAGAGTATTATGCTAAGTGAAATAAACCAGGGAATGAAAGATAAATACCATATTATCTCAACTATAAGTGGAACCTAGTGAACAAAACAAACAAGCAAACAAAATAGAACCAGAGGCATGGAAATAAAGGACAAAGTGATAGTGACCAGAAGGGCAGGGGGAGGGGGCTAATGGGAGAAAGAAGGGGAAGGGTCAAGTCAAAGAACATGTAAAAAGTACCCATGGACAAGGAGATTGGTGGGGGGGGCAGGGTTGAATGTGGGAGAGGAGGTGTGGGCAGAGCAGGGGAGTGTAATGGGGGGAAAAATGGGGATAAATGTAATAGAACAACAATAAATTTTTAAAAAATAAAAAGAAAAAGAATTTAAAGGTCATTGTATATTTAGAATTTGTCATTTTTATGTATATTGTCCAAGTATGTAAAACTAGAATATATTCAAGAAAATTTCACTCAGAAAATTTACCTTAACAGCATATTTTGTGCCATAAAATAACTTAACAAATTTTAATATATTGAAATTATAAGAACCATGATCTTTTATTAAAAAAAGCAGTACTTAACCGTAAGTGACTATATTATTAAAAGAGAAGAACCTTAAGTAAGCTAACTTACCTTAGGAAACCCGAAAATAAAGAGCAAAAGGAAGTGAAAGCAAATAGAAGGCAAGGAATAATAAAGAGCAGAAATCAATGGAATATTAAACAAACTATAGAGAAAAAAAGTCAATGGAACCTAAAGGTGGTTCTTTAAGAAAAATCATTCAAAGTGATAACTCTCTAGCCAGGCCTATCAAGAGGAAAAAAAAAGAGAGAGAGAGAGAGAGGACCTTTACATTACCAATATCAGGAACAGATGTTAACATCACTACAGATCCCAGAGTCATGAAAAGGATAATAAAGGAATACTATTAAACAACTGTATGGACTTGTGTATTTGAGCACGTCACCTCAGGAAAGATACTGCCCCCATAATGTGTAACTGAACCCTCCTAAAAATGCCTCACTAAGGATTCCCAAAGTACCGTCATACGACTGCTTAACTTCACAAGATCTAAACATACCCAGACCTTTCATCTGGAGCCCCCAAAATGTCCCCCTCCCTCAAACTATTCATTCTATGGTTGTTTGTTTTGAGCGTTTACTATGCAGGGGGTCTACCTTACCCCCACTGGATATGCCCCGCCCTAAGCCCGATCCTGTCTTCAGAATTTGTACTCAGACCCGCGGCCATCTTTCCCAGCTTTCTGCAAGAAACCCGGCATCTCAGACTTTAAATCCCACCTCATAGTGCTGCAGATCTGCATCAGGCTCCACGAGAAAGTCATCTGGTGAAAGTTACATGCAGAGCCAGTTCTTTCTTCCGTCACCTCAGGCGTCCCATCGGTTACTAGGGATGCTGTTCTTTTGCTCAGTCAGTTGGTCCGGAAGGGGTGGGGCCAGGCTCAGCAGCCATCACCCTCGTGGCTGGCGGTGTACGACGACGCACACATGGGGTCGTCTGTGTCCAAGGCTGCCCTCGGGGCCACCACGGATGAGTTCATGGAACCGGAGCCGAAACACCTAGCTGGTAAGTAGGAGGTCTAGTGCAGGTGGCTCACAGAGGGCTAGCCTGCTCTGAGTACCTCTAATGGTGAAACCTCCCCCTCTTCCCCCTCCTCCTCCTCTCCCCCTCCCCAGCCCTCCTCTCCGTACTCCGTGTCGTTACAGGACCAGTGAGATTGGGTTCTCACTTCTAGTAAATTTTGATTGCGCCTAGAAGAGAACCACTGGGTTTTTAAACTCCAAGCTGTAATTTCGAAATAACTTAGTACACAAGAGGTGGTGGATTAACACCTCAGGTTTCTGAGAGAGGTCTCAATTCCAAAGTCCACCTCAGGCCCTTTTATAAATCATGACATTAGCAAGTCTTTTGAAATGAAGGAAAAGACAATCAAGCAGGCCTTCCCATAGGTAGTCCTTATCTAAGTTCCATGAATAGACATTAGAGCAAGGGTGTCCAACCTTTTGGCGGCTTTGGGCCACACTGGAACAAGAAGAGGTGCCTTGGGGCACACATTAAATATATTGTGACTTGTAAGCACAGAAAAAAATCTCATAATGTTTTAAGTAAATTTACAGTTTTGTGTTTGGTTGCATTCATAGCCATCCTGAGTTGCATGTGGCCCACAGACCACAGGTTGGACACCCCTGCTTTACAGTGTTCACCCCAACATTTTTTTTTGTCCTGTGTATGTTTCCAGGGAAAAGAATTTTGATTCTTAAAGCTACCTTTTGCTCAAAGACAGAATAGCCTCCAGGATCTCCCGACTCCCTATTGTCTGAGTTCATTGTGAACAAGGACTTATTTGAATAGTATGTGCTGTTGGCAATATACCTAAATCCTACTGCTGTTGAAACTCTCGTAGCTGACTCAGTCAGTCTTTTCATCGCCTCTTAGCATTTTGCTTTAAAACTCCATTGGCTTAATATATATTTGCCTTCTGAAATTTTATCTTCTTATCATCTTGACAATGTGCATGTATTACGGCAATTTCAAATCCCAGCCCTGCCACTTAACTACTTGTATGTCCTTGGGTATGTTACTTACCTTATCGAGTCCTATTCATTTAACAATTATTTACCATAACCTGTTATGTACCAACTGTTGTGCTGCATCTTGGGGGGACAGTGGTGACCAAAATGAATACAGCCCCCACCCTCGTCAAGTATACAGAACTCTAGGGTAGATAGGCATTAAATGTCATGTAACATGTCATTACAAATTGTAATACTTGTAATGAAGAAAATGTTTTGGATTATTCCCTTTGTCATTACTCTGAGATTTGATTCTGTGTTTAAATTAAAGTTACCAGTTTTGGTTTTGAAAATTATTTCTCACTCCGCATTTTAATACTTGTCACTTTCTCTAATTTAGATCTAATACAGTACATAAATGAAACAAATATGAGTGTTAAAGGCCTGGCTGATGTTCTTTCTGAGAAAACTAGGAGCAGCAGCTGGGTAGTGGTGTTCAAAGCCCTGGTTACTGTGCATCACCTTATGGTGCATGGAAATGAGGTGAGCATGGTAGATACAGAAATGGTAGTCATTTGCAACTGCAAAAATGTTCTTGATTTGACAAAGGCTTACCGCCTTTTACTGTCAACTGTGACAAGTAAGGGAAATGAGCAGTGGATATTAAAACTGTTTTTTTTTTCATTTTACATATGAATATATCTTTATAATCAGTATTTAAGGTATACTATTTTAGCCACTGGATAATAAAGTGGACAATAGGTTGGGTATTTCACTCAGTTCTTTAAATGATTTAGACCAAAAAGAGAAAGCCCTCAAAAATGTATTGCTACATAACTGCTTTATATTACCAGAAGAAACTGAACACTTGAGTGTATTATATCATCACTTGTCCACCTCTTCCCACATATACTTTTTTATTTTGTGGAACAGATGAAATGTTCTATAATATTAAATTACTTACTGTTTTCTACTTCAAATTAACATTTTATCTCAGTAAACTTTGCATTAAAAATTAGGATTTGGAAATTTACTGGATTTTGAAACTTACTATAAAGCAGTAGTAACTACATAGCATAGTATTGGTAAAGATGGAACCTTTATATAAATGCATCACAGTGGAGAGCTCAGAAGTAGAACTGTACTTATATAGGAGTTTGGTGGCACTAAAAACATGGGGGAAAGTATGGAATTAAAAATAAAGCCTTTTGGTACAAGTAACATCCCTGTGAAAAAAATAGAATGAGATCTTTATCTTACCTCATATACAAAAATAAATTCCACATGAATGAAATATCTATAAATGCAAAAACTTAAATTTTAAAATAAAAACATGTAGGAGAATGTGCTTAAGATATTTTAGTAAGGAAGATAGTATAAAGTTGGAATAAGATTTTTTATATTACAGACAAAAGATTAATATTTAGAATATATTATCAATAACAAAAGGGCAGTCCTGGCCAGGTAGCTCCGATGGTTGGAGCATTGTCCTGTGCACCAAAGGTTGTGGGTTTGACCCCTGGTCAGGGTTACATACCTAGGTTGCAGTTTCAATCCCCCATCAGGGTGCATATGGAAGGCAACCAATCGATCTTGACCTCTCTCTCTCCTCCTCCCTTCCTCTCTTTCTAAAAACTCATTAAAAAAAACATACCCTCAGGTAAGGGTTAAAAAGAAAGAAAGAAAATGGCAGTACAATAGAATAATACACACAAAAAATGAACAGACAATTCATGGAAAGGGAAACCAGAATGATAGCCATCAGAGAACATGCTCATATGAGCAAAATTTAAAATGTATGACAGTCTCAAGAGTTTCAAAGACCTTGAGGAACTGGTAGCTGACAAACCGTTGGATGACATGCAAATATTAGTTGCTGCAGTTTATCACTATCAAAGGAGAGCACTGAGACATGTTTAGTAAAACTGAAAATGCCCAGCGCAGTAACCCAGCAAATCCACTACTCATAGCATATTTATAATACTTAGAAAGTAAAAATCACCTAAATTTCAGTAAGTAGGGAACAGAGAACTAAAATGAGGTGTGTTTGTACAATGAAATACTACATTGCATTAAATGGGACGTATACGAACAAGGCTACATCTTAGGAAAAAAACCAATGCTAATAGAGGAAACAAACTGCAAAATGATAGAGTATAGTATCATTTATATAAATTTTAAAAATGCATTTAATATTTTTCCATGGAACAAATATATATGAAGCTATAAAGAAAATAGACTAAAGATAGCACATTACAATTATGATACAGGTTCATTCTAGGTAAGAGAAAGAAATGGAACTTAGGGATGGGGTTAAGGACATTTTTAACTTTATCTGTAATACTTTAATTCTCTTATTTTAAAAATAGGCTTGAAGCAGCTATGTCAAAAAGTTAGCAGTTGCCATTTCTGGGTAGGGGAGTGGAGTACACGGACGTATAAATTTAAAAAAATTTTCTCTAATTTATTAAGTAATGTGCTATTAAAGTAAGTATATAATTAATTAAATATTCTCAAAATAAAAAAGGAGGAATGGCTAGATAGAAAGTCTTGCAGGGGAAGGGTATGTATACACATGAGCTTTAATGTTTAACTCCTTATTTACTGGGGAGGTATATAAACAGAGGACAACACTGCAGGTCCTATGTTGTGTTGCCCAGGAAGTGATCATGCTCACCTTAATCAATGCTCATGAAGTACATAGACCTGGTAAGAATTATGTTAAGGATTCGTTCACAATGACAAAATCATTAATGAACTCTGTTTGTGGGAAGAAACTAATTTTTGGATTTGGCCCATTTGTTTGACAGCGTTTTATCAAACATCTTGCATCTAGAGACTCTTTGTTCACTTTACACAACTTCCTGGATAAAAGTGTCACAGAAGGTAAGATGATTCTTTGATGGAAATATTTTTATGTGGCAAGGAGGGAAAAGTTCTGAAAACCATGCCTGTTTTTTAAAAATGGTTCCAAATTATTGCACTAGCTGGTGTGGCTCAGTGGATTGAGTGCCAGCCTGCAAACCAAAGGGTCACCAGTTTGATTCCCAGTGTAGGGCACATGCCTGGGTTGCAGGCCAGGTCCCCAGCAGGGGATGCGCAAAATGCAACCACACATTGATGTTTCTCTCTCTCTCTCCCTTCTCTCCCCTCTCTAAAAATAAATAAATAAAATCTTTTAAAAAATGGTTCCAAATTATAAAGAGTGTGGTGTGTTGTACATTTTATGATGGTAGATAATTTCTAAATGCATTGATACAGCACATTCGGGTGCTTATTGAGAGTAACAGAATATGCTAAGTGCTAAAGAGAGAGGAAACTGCTCTCTCCAGGTATCAGTATTTACTCAGTAAGGTCTTCCTTGTTCAGTCTACCAAAAATTGTGGCACATCCCTGGGTCCCTTCTCTGCCTGAGTTTTATTCTTTTCATTTCTTGCTGACTAACCATTTCTGTGTTTTTCTTTCCTTTTGCTTGTCTATCAGTTCCACATTGGAATGTAAGCTCCATGAGGGCAGAGATTTTTATCTATTTTGTTCACTGCTGAACTTCCAGCATCTAGCATAGTGCCTGGCTCGGTAGGCACTCAGCAATTGTTGAATGAATAAATAAATTCAATAAATGAATCAAGGTATGTTTGGAAGTTGAGTTTCCATCATGGCCTCTTTTTCTCCATTTTGCTTTTGAAGTAGGAGTCAAGGTCATTTGCTTCATGGAGTGAAGGTGAGGGAGGGATGACTACAATGAGATGGGGAGTTTTAGGGAAATGCTAAGAATTTACAATAGTTTTTGTGGAAATGTGAAAGAAATTGATAAAGTTTAATTATTTCCCCTGTTCAGGAATGTTAACATCAACACCACATCATGAAGTGATATAAAGGCTTTGAGGAAATAAAAAGTAATATTTAACAGGAAGTTTGAGGAATGTAGGACTAGATGATTAATGAAGGCCATTCTAGCTTTTGTGCTTCAAAGATATTGTTGAGGTATACGGGTGAATGTGGAATGATAAGTCTTTGTGTTTATTGACATATATTGCAAATGGTTAATATTGGTTAAATTAAAAATAATTAAAATATTTTATTTTTAGGCCCTACTATGTCAACTTTCATCAGACAGTATAGCAGGTACTTGAATGAAAAGTCACTCGCATATAGACTGATCTCATCTGACATCACCAAAACCAAGAGAGGGTCAGTAAATATCATTAATGTGTAAGCAAGAAATACTGAAATAATTACGTGCTCTGATATGTAGTTTGTCAAAAACACAGCGGTATTTAAATATGCTTATGTCATAGTACTTCTCAAACTGTTAATTATTGATGTTATAAATTTCTTTGATCTTTTACAGGATGGATGGTATGATGAGAACTATGAATACTAAAGAGTTGCTCAACACACTTCCAGTAATTCAAATTCAGTTTGATGCTCTTCTTAATTTTAATGTAAGAGCTTTATAAATTCTTTTTTAAAATATTGGTAAATGGCATTGTTTAACTATTGGTGGGGGAAGAAATTTTTTTAAACTGTGTTAGTAATTGATTTCATTTTTACTTAACTTTCAGGCAAATCCTGATGAACTAACTAATGGTATAATACATGCTGCTTTCATGCTTCTCTTTAAGGATTCTCTTTGCCTCTTTGCAGCCTATAATGAGGGAATCCTTAATCTTCTAGGTAGGCTAAAGAATAAACATTACATACTTTTTAAAAAACTGTTAAAAACAACTTATTTGTAAAAATCTTTTATGTCTAGATTCATATTTGTTTCAGACTAAAGATAGAAGATACTTTCAAGGTCATAAGTGCTAACTGATATTTCTGGGAAATTTACCAGGGAATCAATATGGGTTGCCATATTTATGCACTACTCATTAAGGCACACTCCACCAAGGTCAAAAATGCAGTTCAGACTTTTCTAAGAAAATGTAGCCTATAACATAAGTAACCGTTATTGATTAGATAGAAGCATATATTTTGTAGGCTTTTCAAGAATTAACTGTCACCGTCTTTATAGAAAGCATTCTCCAGACTTCATTGATGAGAATTAGATTTTTTTTGTTATACTGAAGAAGTACCTGTACATTTGTAGAGTTATAAAAGAGTAGGAAACACAGCCCCTTCCCTCAGAGAGCTTCAGAGTTTTCAAAAAGATTACAGGCTAGAAGTTGTAGAAATTGAAACTAAACTATCCAAACAATCTCTGTATGCTATTAAATTTTAGATGTATTCCCAGCACCAGTGTTTGGCATGCAGTAGTTACACCATAATAATCTGTTAAATATATAAATTGAGCAGCGTTGTTGCTTTTAAAAACAAAATAACTGGATTAAAACTGTAATTATTTTGAACAAGTTAAAATAATATCCAGGAGCAGCTTAAAATAGAATAATCAGAATGAAATGAAACTTGAAAATTGCTAAGTTATTGGCTCCTACATGATAATATTTTTTCTATTTTAGGCAAGTTTTTTGACATGAGGAAAAGCCAATGTGAGGCAAGTTTGGATATCTACATCAAGTTCCTTGATAGAACAACCAAATTAGCACAGTTTCTGAAAGTTGCAGAGGTATACAACTCTATTTCTATCCCAGGCTTTTCTGTTTTGTATAGTAGCTTAATAACCAATATAACTATCCCCCCTACCACTACCAGCACACACACACACACACACACACACACACACACACACACACACGGAAATTGATAGTAGTTTAAACTATTTTGTAAACAATAAAACGGAAAACTAAATTAAAGTACCTCAAATGTACTTAATTCAGTGCACTTGTGCGCAAAAGCAATCTGACAAGGATTTCTGTTTGCAGCCATGAGGATAACCGTTCATAAGCTCACCCTCAGCAGAAACAACTCTAAAACTGGGCCAAAATATATATGATGTCTTTTCAGGTAGAACAGGTCTGTGGTCAATGAGAGAAGGAAACACATAACATGAGCCTCATATCTGCCCTGATATTTAGAGGAATCCAAGTAGGATAAATACAAAGAGAACCATGCTTAGGCAACCAATAGCAGAACTTCTGAAAACGGGGGAAAAAGACATATTACCCACAGGGGAACAATATGAATAATAGCTGACTCTGACTAATTGAAAAATTAGAACACATTTGTATGATGTCCAGACAGCAAAGGCTCAGTATCTGACAAGTCTTTTGTTTTATAGTTTTATCCTTAGGACAAGTATAAGTTTGTGCTTAAGTGCACAAGGCCTACTTTATTTAGCCTGATAGTTTTCTTGATCTATTGGATTGGCCAAAAAGTCTGCTTATTTTTTTCCATAAAATAAAAGACACATTTTTTATCTTCACCAATAACTTTATTGATTTGGCTGTTTTAAGTATATCAGCTTTCTCCCACATGGTATAACATTGATTGTTCTCAATTAATGTCCCGATTTGATTGCTATCAACTTCAACTGGCCTACCCAACTGTGGAGCTTCATCCAGCACAAAACTTCACAAACCACTTTTGACACATTCAGTTGGTCACAGCACCTTCTCCATACACTACACAAATCATTTCTTATGTTTCAGTTGCATTTTTACCTTTCTTGAAACAATAAAGCATAATATGCCAAAAATGTTGCTTCTTTTCTTCTGTCTTAAATATTAAAATGGCTACACAAAAATTCACCAGTTTTTTAAAAAGAATTTATTTATTTATTTTTAGAGAGGGAAAGGGAGGGAGAAAGAGAGAGAAACATCAATGTGTAGTTGTCTCTTGCATGCCCCCTACTGGGGATCGGGCCTGCACGCCAGGCATGTGCCCTGACTGGGAATTGAACCAGGGACCCTTTGGTTCGCAGGCTGGCATGCAAACTCAATCCACTGAGCCACACCAGCCAGGGCAAAAATTCACCAATTTGATAAGTTATTTTTAAATGCACGCTGATATGGCAACTGTCACAATACACTCTCTAACAAAATTGTTTTGAATGAAGTTAAAGACAACTAAGTGCTACTAGAGACATCTTTTAGTAAAAAACCAAATGCACTTTTTGGCCAACCCAAGTAGATAGGTACCAGCCTAGCAAGGCATTCATGTTCTTGCGGCATTTTCTCTTTTGTGGATACATTGGTCTCACAGTTACTTTTCTTTGTTGCCATGCTCTGCTATAATGTGTGCTTCCCTCTACCTTTTTGTGAATTCAGGAAGTTGGAATTGACCAAAACAACATTCCATATATTACTCAGGTCAGTGTATCTCTCTTATGTATTTAAATGACTTTTCTATCTTTGTGTGTTTATTATATTAATTATAATCTGAGAATCTACCCTTTGTCATATACCTATGTGTGTATTTTTGTTTCCACGTGAATAACATATGTATATACCGGCAATTTCAACCTTTTTCATATGGCACACATAAACTAGTAAAATTCTGCTGTACACCAAAAAAATTTATCTTTGCCAATTAGACCAAAAAATAGGTATAATTTTGATTCGTTCATGCTGGAAGGCTGTTGTGTTGGCTGTTGTCTTTTTTATTTGACAGTCTAAGGGAAAAGAAGTCAGTGTCCCTGACTAATTAGGTATTGCATGCTGTATTTTTATTTTTTTAAAGATTTTGTTTATTTATTTATTTTGGAGAAGGAGAAAGAGAGAGAGACAAACATCAATGTGTGGTTGCATTTCGTGTGGCTCCTGCTGGGGACCTGGCCTGCAACCCAGGCATGTGCCCTACACTGGGAGTTGAACCGGTGACCTTTTGGTTTGCAGGCCAGCACTTAGTCCACTGAGCCACACCACTGAACTAGGGAGGTATTGCATGCTGTACAAATTCTCATGGCACATCGGTTGAAAATTGCTGGTCTATACACATAGACTTATATCTTCTGAGTAGATCTGTGAGCTATTGATCTTATAAAGAGGTTGTTTCCTTTTGAGTGCTAAATGATGATTCATAGTATGAGTTTAACAACTAGAATATGCTTTTTAAGTGGGCAAAACTGATCAGTGGAAACAGCAAAATATTTGGAATAATAAACTTAGGTTTGAGGCTGCCTTGTCCACTTTTCAGGATTGTAACCTCAAACAACTTATTCCATTCTCCATGCCTCATTTCTGCAACTGTAAAATTGGTGTGATAGTATTGTCTATCTCATAGCAGCATTGTAAAAATCAAATGAACTCAAGTTTTTTCCTTCCCTAGAAGCTGGTCATGGGGAATCAATCCCTCACATGGCAATGGGTGTGATGTGAGGTAAAGGTGGAAATTCAGCAGGTGTGGATGAAATGAGGGTCTGGCAACCTGCTCATGCAGTCTGCTTGTGCCCTCTGGACCTGCCTGTACTCCATTCCAGTTGTACCCTAGGGCTGGCCCAGCCAGAACCTGTACAGAGACCTTTTTTGCTCTGGGCCCCAAACTAATGTGGCAGGATTTTAGATAACCTGGGCTATGGACCAAAGCAGTCTTCCTTCTGTGGGAAATTGTTGTCTCCAGAATCCAAAGGACCTACCAGGTGTTGTGTTTCCTTTTAAATGGTGGAAGGTGCCCGATGCCTACTTTATGTTTTAGGGAAGATTTCCTGATAGACCCCTGGCCACTGAAACCTTAAACATTTTACTGATGTAGAAAGCTCCTGAATCTTTATTAACTACCCTCTGGAGCACATGTAGCTTTCAAAAGTCTCTACTGTTCTGGCCAATTCATGCTCATCTGATTCAGTCAGCACGAAGTCATGGATACAAGTGGATCCATGTGATTTTTCTGAGGGGTAACTAAATGGTCTAGATGTTTTCTGACCATATTACGACAGAGGATTGGTCAAAACTGTACTGTTTATTTCATATGCCTGCTAACTTTTTCTCATCCACAGTTTTGATAGCAATAGAAAGCAGAACATTCACTAAACTTACAGCTCAGGTACCTACAATGAACCTGAGACTGTGTTCTCTCTATCAGAGAAACCGTAGTGGCACCATGGCTGCAATTGAATGACTACTTGATTGAGAATGCTGTAGTTTTGTCATTCTCCAGGGCCTGACTACTTTGAGGGGGGGGTCATACTGGTGAATTACATGGAGATCATGGGGGTTGTTATCCCTGCATCCTTTTTATCTTTAAGATTGACACTAAGTTCTGCCATCATCTGAGGGGGAAATCTTGTTCTTTATTTACTATTAATCCTGGAGGGCAGATGGAGGCTGTTTCAGAGGCATGTCCCTAGCTGGGCTCTGCTGTGACTTAACTGTAGTTAGAGTCCTAGAGGTCAGGAGGGGGATGGGGACAGATCCTGATGGAGCATGTCACTTGTGGGGCATCATGTCCAACAAAGGGGATGGAGGAAGACACTTCTTCAGGCTCAGAGGTTTCTAGTGAATCTGGAGACACAGGACTTTCAGGCCATCCCTGCAGCTCTCCCCACTTAATAAATCAGGGGCTTTATTCTTTATCCAACCAGGTCCCTGGCCCTGGTGTGGCAGACCTGCCTTAGTGGTGACTGGAGGAATATACACTATTCAGAGTGCCTGGCTCAGGCGGTAGTCATGTGTGTGGGAAGAAGCCTGTGAAGAGAGAGGTACCAGATTGAGATCCCCTAGGGAAAGAGAGGATATTGGATCCAGAACACAAGTGGAAGTAGTGGCGTCAAAAAAGAGGATAGGGGAGGCAAGGAGTAGAAGATGGTTGCAAATGTAAATAAATGTTAGATGTGGTTGCAGAGAAGGAGGGAGTTTCTGTCTGATGTCTTCAGAAATACAGACACACACACACACACAACCTCTCAGGTATATACAGCACAAGCATTCCTCAAGTAGAGATGAGGGACTTGTGCATAGACATTGAACCACACAGAGTGGTCCACAATGGGAACCACTGTTGGGTAAAATAATGCATGGCTTCCTGAATGAGAAGTCAGATAACCAGACAGAGACAGTGAGAATATCTGAGTTAGTAGGGGAGAACATGGGATTCCATTGTCCAAAGACACATACTAGTGCATTTCTATCAATGCTCATTCACAAACAAATACTTGACCCCTACCAGGTGGAAGCTGCTGTAATGAATAAGACACAGTCTGAGCCCTTGGGTTCCTGAAAAAGACAGAACAAAGACTATACAAGCATGATTGGATATCTCCCAAAATGTAGTTCTCTCATTTTTCTCCACAATGAGCTCAGTTCCTTAAGGCAGGTGGGAAGGGTTTCTTTGCTGAGAACCTCAGCTCAGCCATTATGGGGTCACAGGCGAGCGTTAACTGACCTGGGCTCAGCCTCCTTCAGTGCTCGGCGCCTGGAGCTGGAGCTCTAGGGGGACATTTGGAGGAGCTCCAAAATGGAGGTACATGTTTCCCCTTGTGCCACCCTCTCTCCTCCTTACCCTGACTCTGGTCTCCAGGACCCCTGAATCAAAAGCAAAGTAGATGGCTGTGGGAAAGGCTGCAGAAGATAGGTGAGGGTCTTTGTTGGTAAACCTTCATGCAGATCCCCATTCCTTCCTCTGTACATCATCTCATTTCAACTAAAAGAGCTTGCTTTTTAAAAAATATGTATTTATTTATTTATTTTTAGAGAGAGGGGAAGGGATGGAGAAAGAGAGGGAGACAAACACCGATGTGTTAGAGGTTGCCTCTCACAGGCCCCCAACCAGGGAGTGGGCTGGCAACCCAGGCATGTTCCATGACCGGGAATTGAACCTGCAGCCTTATGCCTTGCAGGGCCATGCTCAACCAACTGAGCCATTCCAGTCAGAGCCAGAAGGACTTTTTATTTTTTTATATTGTTCAATTATAGTTGTCTCAGTTCCCCCACCTTGCTCTCCCCTGCCCTGACCATGCCTCTAGAAAAGCTTTTTTATCAGTATGTGGCCTCTGGCCCTCAGCCAATACAGAAAGTCACTTGTCATATATGGTCTTGGGTAGCTTTCTCAGGTGTCCTGGAAACCCTGGAATGGAGTGAAATGCAAGGCTCTGTGGGAGGGGAGGGAGCCTAGAGAGAGATGAGAACTAAGTCAGCTTCACCTTTGCCCCACTCATTTGGTCTCTGAGAGAGGTCCACTCAAAACAATGCACAGATTCAAGGAGCATTTTCAGCCAATCTGCGGCTACATCCCTCGAATGGTGTTAAGGTCTCCCTCTGTGACTGTACGCTGGCCAGTTTCTCCTTGTGCTTCCAGCAGTCTTTACTTTATGTGAGTAGATGCTGTTAGGAGTAGGCTCACCATTTTAAGGCTCACTCAACCCCTTTTGTTTTCTTAAGAGCACTCTCCCTGGTTTCCTCAGCTCATCCTTTCTGCCTTGGTTTCATTGACGTTGTCTGGAGCTCTCAGAGCCTCCTCTTGTGAGCAGCTGTGTCTATCCCTGTCCTTTAACCATTCTGTGCAGTTAGTGTTGGGTGTGACTCACCGGGGTCTGCTCTGTCTGCAACCCGATGTATTTTTATTTTTCACTAGAATAGTTCAAATACACGTCTCTGGGCCACACCCATCATCAAAACCCCAGGAACACAAATTCAGGGACCTATTCATGTTTCGCCCTGAGGTGTGTCGATGCATTTTCCCACCTTCACCACAGCGCTTGATGGTTTGGGTGGGTGGAGGGTAACTGTGTGCTTCTTGGAAGAGGTCTTATGGCCTCACAGCTACCCTTTCATTGTAAAGCACCGTGTTGCATTTTACGTTTTCAGTAATTCTAAGCAGTGTTCTGCTAATCACGTCTGCTGACCTTGGGTGGCAGCATTTGCACAAATTTATAGCTATCAGTGAATCATCTGAAAGTGCATCAGATGAAAAAGAATGTTTTCGACCAACATTGTTCAAATATTGATATTTATTTACTTTTGTTAGTTATTTTGTTTTCTATTTATTAAATGACTGATTGAATGAACCAGAAATACTTGGCCCATGTGCCAAATGTGTGTTTGCCCTGGTGACACTGTCAGTCAGTCCCCTGATCATTTTGGGGGACCCTCTACCTCTTCCTGCCCATCTTGTATGTTTGAACCTTTGAGATTCACCCTGGACCTCAGACTTTCTCGTCTTCCCACTGCAGAGGTGCCTGTGAGCTCTGTCAAGGGACGGTTTCTATAATTCTTTTGTGCTTAAGGTGTGTATGTTGTTATCATGCATCCCTGGGAAGATCTTCTTCTGGTCCCTACAATTGGCCCAACAGGAGAACCCCTCTGAGTAGATTTCTGCTTGGCTGCCTTATTCTGGCAACTCCTCTACAGTGAGTGGTATCCGGGCTTCTCTGACTATTTTCAGGCCCATGTGTTTGTTGCCCTTCCTAGTACCTGTTCTGACACTATAATCATTAACAGCATTCCTTTTTTCCTCTCAGTATCCTCACTTAGCCCTACCCACAGCTCCGTAAACAATTCCTTCATTAAACCTTCCTCCAACTGGCATTTCATCGGTCATCTATGTCTATCTTTGCCACAACACCATCATCCTAACTTCAGTCATCTCTCACTTTCCAGTCTGCCTCCATATCCTCTGCCCCCTGCTGTTTGTTTTACACAGTGAAACCATAATGCTGATCTGATAGGTTGCAAAGAGCACAGATCTGATCATTCCACCCTTCACCTAAAAGCCCTCCAGTGGTCAGCCAGTATTCTTCAGATAAAGTCCAAACTCCCAACATTGCCTTTGTTTAAGGTCTTGCATTGCCTGAACCCTGTCTACTCTCCAGCTTCATCTCACTCACATTCCCCTTTACTCTCTTTGCTCTAGCAACATGGCTCATCTTTATTCTTGGTCTGTGCCATATGCCCTTCCTAGGTCCTTTGCATGTGTTGTTCTTCTGCCTACAATGCTCATTTTTCTCCTATCATCCTCCTTATGCCCTAGATGTCCTTCATATCTCAGCTTAACTGCTACTTTCTTCAGGAAGGCTTGCTTCCCTGACCTCCCTGACTTGGTCAGATTCTGCTGCTTAAACCTGAGTGTCAAGTACCTCTCTTTCATATAATAGTACTTTTCACAACTTTGATTTCACATTTCTTCATGAGATTATTTGATATGTCTCCACCTCTAGACCCGTAGACTGGAGCTTTTAAGGTCATGAAGTCTGGAAACAGGATGTTTTTGCATGTAGCTGTATCCCTAGTGCCTTGTATACTGTTTATCCATATTTTTTGGAAGAGTGAATGACTGGATCAGGAGAGAGGTGGTTGGATATATAGAACCCTGAGGAGAATTGACCTTATGCCAGAACTCCACTTTTACCATTTATAATTGGGAATAGAGAATGAAAAGATGCATCCACATTCAGTCAACAAATATTACTATGTGTTAAGCACTTAAGATTCATCAGTGAACAAAACAAAAAAAAATCATGTCTTTGTGGATGTTTATATTCTGTTGCTAGGAGACAGTCAAAAAACATACAAAGAAACAAATCTACAATTTCAATAAAAATAAAAATAAGTGAAGGAAAATAAAACATAGTGAAAGTAAAGAGACTGTTGGGAGGTACTGTGTTATGTAGGGTAGTCAAGGAAATCTCTGTTGAGGAAGTGACATTTCAGCAGAGACTGGAAACCATGATTAGATTTGCTAATATGAGGAAGATTCTCTTTTTTCTTTGTCTAGCTCTCAGTTTCATTCTCTACTCTTCTCCCTCTTTGCCTTAATGT